ATTGACCCTTTTCCTGTAAGCAAAGTGAGTAGACATTATATAAATTCCAATGATACAGAGTGAGACAACATCGCGCAGGCGAAGTCAGATTTTTGGAGCGCCAAGTTAAAATTAACCAATGAGCGATAGATTACGCATGTGTAGCTGGTTGCATTCTGTCAAAGCGGTTTGTTTCACAGGCCTTTGCTCTGCTGCCGGAGTGCCGGATACGTGGTTTTGAACATGCGTGCGCACGGAAAGTCACTATGGAAGTTTTACGATCTTACAGGAAAAGGGTCAATATTGTGTGTGTTGTTGAATTCATAATTCATAAAGAAAGTATCAGTCTACTTAAGGGCACGATGTCATTAATTAGCTTAATGACTTAATCTACTATATCGTCCTAAATGTGGTCAAGAAATTTTAAGTATGACTTTAATCGATTTAAGGAACTTATAAAATTATGTATCCATTCAAAACCGATGTCAAATTCCTACATTGTCCTAACTGTCAACAAGCGGGTTTTGGACATAAAGTAAACTTAGTATGTTTATATCCACTAAATTTACGTAAGGCAATAATTTCAGAAACCAATTTGAAAATTGTTGTTTTTACAGGAAAGGACAACCGAAACATAGATTGTTTTGATAGATACATTTTTTCTTAGATCTGTGAAATTCGTCTTACGTAAAGTCAATATCTAAGTAACATTTGAGTTTTGTAGGATATAGACGAGGAAGACGCAATAACAACGTACCATTTTAATCTAATAACCATCAAGAATCTCAAAAGTGTTGTCTTCCTAATCACGAGTTTTACGTCATCAGCTGTGCGTCATTTTCGCTTTTATTTTTTTTTTGTCTTCCATACAATTTTGGATTTGCACCAAAATATCCTACAAAAGTGTATGTGTTTAAATGCATTTTTATGAAATGAATTCTGAAAACTAAACGTCTCCCGACAATATTTATTTACATTTATTTATGCCCGATTCGATGTTTACTAATATCATTGGTCAAAAAATGAAACTTTTTGTACTCATCAGAAATGTAAATATGCATTCTTAAACTATTTTTTTTTTTTGCTGATTAGTAGAGAGCGGATTTCTGTCGGGCTACGTCACGATTATTAGGTGGGGACGCGTGAATCGCTGTGAATCAGTAGCGGGTAATAAACAGTGCATTTAATTTTCACTTATTCCATAAATACAATTCACGAAACCTTAATTCGTAAAACAGCTAGGTAAATGAGAACGGGAATTAACAGCAAAGTACAACGAAGCACCGTTATTTTATTCGAAAATAGACGAAGTGCAGCTAGTAACTGCTCTGAATTCCCATCCCGCACGAGCCGTACCGAGTTTGGCCTTGCCAAGCCCGACAGAAATCCGCTGTCTACTGATTAGTGATTACGAATCTGTCTTTAGATTTATCAGTTAATCATAAGCTAGACGATAGCATTGCATATCATCATATTTTTGTCAAAACATGTTTCGATTCGAATATTTCCAAGATATGAACGCGTATTACTAGGGGTGTCGTTTATTTCGATAACGTGACGTGCTAGAAAAAAACAATTGCGGATTTAGAATCAGCATGTTCAACTTAGTAAAGTCCATCTATTCTTTTTCTTGACAGTTTTTTTGGTTGTAGACCAATGTTTTCTTGCTTTTGATTGTCACGTTATAACTCGTACTTTTCGTTTAATAAGACTTGGGATTCAGATAATAGTAATTATAATAATAAGAAAAAAGTATATTTCTATTTCTATTTCTTTATTTTTTCACTATACTTACTTTTACATAAGACAATTTTTGAATATATTTTTTCGTCTTAGAGTTCCGTTAGTAACAATAAAGTACCTTACCAAATGTTGATTTAGAAGGACAGCAAAATACACTCAGGTCAGTTTAAAACCGCAAGGAGCACGTCTGCACAAGAACGAAATAACAACTCACTTTTGTATGCATTATTTTAAATACAAGCCCTAATAGCATATATATTAATTACTTTCTGGCATTTGCTAAAATGACCATTCTGGTGTATGTTATTAAGAAAAGTGTGCCCAACGATTACGCATAAATATCAAGGTAATGCAAAAAATATTAATATTTAATCAATTTTACCAATGCACACGAGTGGGAAAGAGATATGTTTATTTTTTATAATTGTATAAGATTCATTAAGGCGATTAACATTCATACTTAAAAATTATTGAAAAATGAGCTAACCCGCTTTTTACATGATATTTCTTAACATACTAGACATCTTCAGACAATTTTCATGCAAAATACTGCTGCACTGTTACTTAGTCTTAATAAAGTTAAATGCTGTAGAATCAAATAACTTATCATCTCCACCGCCATGTAGTGATAAATTATTTACGAACATTTCATAGTTTACATAAAAGTTTTCTTTACAAGTACGCTCTCTCAGTAGAGTTAGAAAAAGTGAACTTGTATTTAAAATTGTCTGCAATGTTTCAACACTTAAGTACATTGGCTGATAGACGTCTCTGAATTTGGCTTGGAAATTTATCACTTTCTTCTTACTGATGAAAGTTTTATACTTTTGTAGTTCGCATAGAAATACATCAAATCCTATATCACGCACCAAAGGCACAAACTCTGTCATCTTCTTCAAAAATTCAGAAAATTCCCCTTGATTAAACACTACAGCACTTGTATTCTGCGCATTAAAAATTTTAACAACGGGCTCATAGTCCGGAAAAGGTTTGATCCCTACACTTATGAATTTGGAGCCTGATTTAGTAAGCGGGAACACTATATCATCCACAAGTTTATACCGTTGGTTGATGATTTTTTTAACCTCCTTGGCTCGAATATTCTTTTCAAAGTTGTCCAGCAAGTTACATAAGGTATTTTCGAGTTCTTCATCGCCTTCGAAATCATCTTTACATTTTTGTGCAGACACGTCCACCGACGAACCCAAGATCGATGGAACCTCACTAACGACGGGATCCATAGATGAAATCAATAGTTTTTGATCGACAAGCAACGCTGCATCATAAGTACTTAGCGAATTCTGACGACAGCCTTCAGGAATTGGCTTAGGTTTTCTGCTCTTAGGCAGCTTCGACATCGAATCTAGGATGCGTTTCTCACTCACCATTTTTTCTAATTACAAAAAGTAAATTGATCAAAATTCAGAAAATAACTAAAAATAAATTCACTTACTTGCTTCAAAGTTATTTTCACCTAGGAGACTTCTTCAGGGCATAAATTATTTCACTAGGACAACTTCTTCAACATAAAACTTCGAGTATAGAATAACATAAACACAACACTTTGCTTTTTCTTTTACAAACTAAATCGACCAACGAGACGACCTGGCGGTAAATTAGGGAGTGCAGGTAATTAGGACAGGTCAGAAAAATTATTAAGTTAATAAAAATAATTATCGAAAGAATTTGATATAATTCTTTATTAGCTAATTGATTACATTTGGTGGCCATCTTAGAGCGCTGGTAATTAGGACAGGGCGAGTATATCAAAATCATATTCAAAATTATAATCCATGATATAATATGTTTGTATGCAATCCGCATTACACGAATTTATTATTACCATACCCAACATATAAGAGGAAAAGAGATAGCTTTATTTTTGAGAAGTTATACACTTTTATAATGTTTTGTTAAGAAACTATGCGCATAAACATAGAGTCCTAAGGAATGCAAAAATGGAAAGTTTACGTACCCTACAATTGTACGAATGTCATTTTCAAAAATAGATTTCAATAGTTTTTAGAAGACTAGTGACATTTACTCAAAATTTAAGGAATGCAAAAATTGATTTCATTAATTTTTAGAAGAATTTGATACCAGTCTTGATTAGTAATTAAATGTATTTGGTGGCCATCTTAGATCGCGGAAAATTATACTAAAATATATAAGAGGAAAAGAGATTTATTTTTGATAAATTATAAGTAAAGAAATAAATATTTGAATATTTTTATTTAATTCATTAATTCATCTAAAGTAATTTTTAAAAATCGTAACGATAATTAAAAGGATATAAGAATTTGGTATTATTCTTGATTAGTAATTAATTGCATTTGGCGGCCATCTGAAAGCACAGAAAATTATACCAAAATATATAAGAGGAAAAGAGATAACAAAGGAGATATATATATTTTAATAATTTTATTTAATTCATTAATTCATCTAAAATTAATTTAAAAAATCATAATGATAATTAAAAGAATATAAGAATTTGATATCACTCTTGATTGTGACGTACACATTGACACAAAGGAATTCAAAAAAATGGATTTCATTAATTTTTAGAAGACTAAAAAGAATTTGATATCAGTCTTGATTAGTAATTAATTGAATTTGGCTGCCATCTTAGAGCGCATGTAATTATACCAAAATATATAAGAGGAAAAGAGATAACAAAAGAGATATATATTTCAATAATTTTATTTAATTCATCAATTTACCTAAAATAAAAAAAAGATAATTGAAAGGATGTAAGATTTGTTATTCTTGATTAGTAATTAACTAATTGCATTTGGCAGCCATCTTAGGGCACAGGAAATTATACCAAAATATATAAGAGGAAAAGAGATAGCTTTACTTTGATAAATTGTAAGTAAAGAGAGATATAGTTCAATTATTTTATTTAATTTATTAATTCATCTAAAATAAATTAAAAAAAATCATAATGATAATTAAAATATAAGAATTTGATATCACTCTTGATTAGTCATTAATTATATTTGGATTAAATGATGTAATTAGCTTAATGGCGCTGGTAATTAAGACATCGCTAATTTGCCGCGCTGGTGATTAAGGGCTAAAGCGCTGGTGATTAAGACATCGCTAATTTGCCGCGCTGGTAATTAAAAAGCAATTAAAAATGCACTAATTGCCCTACCTTACTACTAATGGACTTAGAATGTCAAATTTGTCTAATAAATGATCGCATAGAAATCAGTGACGAACGCGTAGAAGAAATGATAAGTGCAACAGCTGAAGATATGGAAATGCAAAAACTGAAACAATACATTGAAAACGGATGGCCACAAAACAAAAGTAAAGTACCAGACAACATCAAAAAGTATTATAACTTCAAGCAAGGGCGGATTCAGGGGGGGGGCACGGGGGCACGTGCCCCCTCCCAGAACTTCCAGAATAATTACGTAATTACGTTAGAATAATAAGAATAAAACGCGTGGGCGGAGGTTGGTCCAGCGTCTAGCCGTCAGACTGACGCGTCAGATAACCGTACCAGTTTACAGCGATTGTGCCCTTGTCTTGTGCTCTGTGTACTATAAATAAACTTTATTTTGTAGTTCAGTGATTGTAGTGAAGACGTGAAGTGATACTATAATGAGTGACGAAAACAAAAAAAGACAGATGAGCATAACATGTTTCTTTACAAAAAAACGAAAAATTGACGATGTAGAGAATGAAAGCTCTGATGAAACCCTTCGGCCCACGCAACCTGAAGAGTCAACTGGTGTTGGTGTTGCTTCAGCATCCTCGCTGGCCGCAACTACATCAGCCTCTATTAGTTACATGTTTCAAGAACGTGATATAGGTAGGTATCGGCTGATCGATCACTTACCATTTTGCATCGATAAAACACCGATTTCATTTCTATAAAACTTTGAGTAATTCAATCTACTGGGCCAATCAAGCTAGATTTGGTACGTAGCACAGTGGGTCAAAATCTAAAAAAAAACTTACCAAAAGTCGATACATATGTTTCAATATTTACAAAAACTGGTGAAAATCCATTTTAAAAGTCACTGATCACGAATTAGTAGTCAGAATTCAATTAATTAAAACGGCGGATCCAATATGGCGTACTTTTCACTAAAAAGCGTTTATTTTAAGAAGAAATTTAAATGGGCAATACCTTCTTATTACTGATAACAGATTTTAACATGAATTTACTCTAAATATAATTGTGCCTCAAAGGCTCAATACTCAATAGTCATACAAGTTTGTAGGCAGTTTCAACAAAAATTCGTATGTAGGAATTGTAGGATAATAAATTTGGACAGCCGTCGATACAAAATTTGGTAAATAAAAATATTTCATAGAGTGGAAAGTATTACTTCCTTTCACACTAATAAGAATAACTGCCGACAAAGGGATGGCATGTCCGGTTTCACAAGTGAAGCAGGCTTGGGTTTTTACGGCAATAAAACCGTCACAAATCACTCATTGCGTGATGGAGGGTGGGCGGGTGATGGGCCCCAATTGTGTTGGGTTTTATGAAATGGTTATCAAAGGAGAATCGAGGGCTGATCTTTTAGTAATGTTAAATCTCACAAAAAATGTAACGTCCATTTTATAAAAAAAGATATATATTTTCTGTTTTCTGTCCTTTTACGTAAATATTGTGATTTTGGGCAGTGAGTTATGAACAGAAGATTATACATGCATTGCGCAGAATAATGAAGTTTGTGCGAGGTAAATTTTTGTTGAAAAGTGCCTAAACCACCAAAAATGTTTGAGTATTTTAAAGAGATTTTTTAAAATTAATAATAATTTTATGTTACGATAGGGTTGAAAAATAAAATTTAAATTCAAAATTGTTTTAAGATTTTCCCGAACTTTTTCGCGCCAGATCTTATCTTATCTTATTTATTTACTTGTTTGATTCTACCCTACTCGAGTTAACGCATGCACTATAATAATGTTTCTGTCTTAATTAATTTTTTTATTTTATTTATTTTATTTTATTTTTATATTTATAGGTAAACTACTTAGCAACCAGGACAGTTCAAACGTTCTTACAGATGAAGAAAAATACCAGTGGTTGAAAAATGCTTGGCAACCTACAACAGACTTTAAATTTCCATTGGTTCGCGAGGGCAAAAAAAACCGGTCTTTTCAAATGAGCTGGTTAAAGGGACATGAATGGCTATCATACAGCAAAATTGCTGGTGGCGGACTCTGCAAAGTGTGCATTATTTTTGGACGGCGTGAAGCGGGCACAAATGATGTGAAGCTAGGGAAGTTGGTGACGGAACCACTGAAAACATATAAAAAAGCCATTGAAACAATCACACACCACGAGAACACGAAATACCACCAAGCTAATATGGTAATATCTCAAAATTTCTTGATGGTGATGGAAGGAAAGTCAATGGACGTTGTTGTCCAAATGAGATCTCAGGAAAGAAAAATTATTGAAGAGAATCGTAAAAACTCATACCCATTATAAAAACAGTCATATTATGTGGAATGCAAAACATACCATTAAGAGGACATAGGGATGACGGTGATTTAGAATCGGAAAGTTCTTCTGGAGAAGGCAACTTTAGAGCATTGTTGAAATTCCGAATCGATGCTGGAGATGAGATACTGCTCGATCACGTAAAAAATTGTGCGAAAAATGCTTCCTACATTAGCAAGTCGACACAAAATGATTTGATAGATAGCTGTGGGGAATTAATCAGAAACAAAATAGTAAACAAAATAAAAAAATCTAAATATTTTACTATTATAGCTGATGAGACCACAGATGTTTCTATTAGTGAGCAACTGTCCATTTGTATTCGCTATTTCGATGTAGTTACATGTGAAATCCAAGAAGACTTTCTTAAGTTTGTCGAAGTTGTGCATCTTACTGGTGAAAACATTGCTCAGCATATTTTACAGGCGTTGGAAAACCTGAACCTAGATATTACATTGTGCCGGGGTCAAGCATACGATGGAGGAGCCAATATGAGCGGTAAAATAAAAGGTGTTCAGGCATGTGTATCCAATGTTGAGCCTTTAGCTTTTTATACCCATTGTGCAAGCCACCGGCTCAACTTGGCCATCAGTACAGCCTGCACCGTACCTAGCATAAGAAATGCTGTGGGGGTTATTTCAACCGTAGCAACCTTTTTCCGTGAGTCAGCTGGACGAATACATCTCCTCAAAGAAGAAATGCAAGCTCATCTGCCCAAGGAAAAACAAAATACTTTAAAGAAAATGTGTGAGACCAGATGGGTGGAAAGACATGAAGCGGTTTTGACATTTTTGGACATCTTGCCGTGTCTTCCTGTAATTTTGCAAAAAATGGCCGATAAAGGGGACAAACGTGCTGCAACTGCATTTTCGCTGCTTCATGCCATAACTTCGTCGGAATTTCTTGTAAGCTTGGTCATTCTCGCTGATATTTTGGGAATCACACTCCCTTTATCTCGATCATTACAAGCCACTGAAATTGACATACTTTCTGCAATGAAGCTTCTCGATACGACCACAGCCAGTCTCCAAACGAAGCGTGAAACTAACACGGATGCATTTAAAAAACTTTTCAATCAGGTTGAGGGCCTGGCAAATGAAATTGGGACAGAAATCACGGTCCGCAGAGTAACCAACCGCCAAACAAACAGACCCAACATCCAGACTCAATCTGTTGAAGAGTATTACCGAGTATCGGTGTACATTCCTTTTCTGGATTATTTGTTAAAAGAAATGTCCTCTAGATTCCCTAGAACTCAGTTGCAAAGAATCGGACAATTACAAAAGTTGCTGTCGCATAACTTCAGTGACGAAGATGTAGATGATGTTTTGCAAGGTGCCGAACTGTACAAAGGTGACCTTCCTTGTTTTTTAGCTTTGAAGGGAGAGCTACAAATTTGGCAACACATGAGAGAAAATCTTCCAAATTCTCCAGCAGAGGCCTATAAAAGAGCAATGGCGCTGCCAAATATTAGGACCCTGTGTCAATTGTTGTGCACGTTTCCTGTGACAACAAGCACTGCCGAGCGATCTTTCTCCACCTTACGCAGACTGAAGACATATCTTCGGAGCAGAATGACCGAAGATCGTTTGAATGGATTGGCTTTAATGCAAATCCATCAAGACATTGCATCCACGATGAACGCTGAAGAAGTCCTTGATATCTTCAGCAGAAAACATAAAAGGAAACTGTCATTAAGTTACATGTAATTATATTTCTATTAAGTATTGTATGTTTTTATTTTACAATTAATCCCAAAAAGTCTATGAAGATACTCCTTGCCCGGCTCACCCTTGTGCCCCTCCCAGAAAAAAAATCTGTATCCGCCCTTGACTTCAAGAATGAATTATTCCAAGGAATGGGTTTAATCTATAAAAGAAATAAAATAACAATACCCTACAAAATGCGCACTAAAGTCTTAAATAGCATTCACACTGGTCACTTCGGAATAAATAAATGCATACAACGAGCAAACCAAGCAATCTACTGGCCAAACATGAATGTAGAAATAGAAAATTTTGTCAGCAAATGCCAAATATGTCAACAATATAGTCGAAACAATACAAAAGAACCACTAATATTACACCAGATTGAAAAAATTCCCTGGTTCAAAGTTGGAATTGACATATATGAATTGTATGGAGAAGTCTATTTACTCGTAGTAGACTATTATTCAAAATATGCTGAAATTGCAAATCTTAACAGAAACATGACCTCAACCTCAGTTATAAAACATCTAAAATCTATTTTTGCTAGACATGGAATACCAGCTACATTAGTCTCAGATAGTGGCACACAACTGATTAGTCAAGAACTACAAAAATTTGCAGAAGAATGGAAATTTCAAATACACCCTAGTTCTCCATATCACCAACAAGGAAATGGAATGGCAGAAAGAACCATTCAAACTGTCAAAAAATTATTAAAGAAAACAATAGAAACAAAAGCAGATATTGAACTTGCCTTACTAGCTTATCGAAACACACCTGTATATGGCACCTACACACCATCACAAATTCTAATGGCAAGATTACTTCGAGATAACGTATCGAGATCAAAACATCATCTTGAACCTCAACTAATCGAGCGAAATAAATTTCATAAAGAAATGGAACAAGCCAGACAAAACCAAAAGAAATACTATGACAGAAGTACTAAAGAGTGACCAATTCTAGAGAATCATATATATTATCAGGACAAACCTGGCACTCTATGGAAAAAAGGAAAAATAGTGAAGTCACTCAACGATCGTTCCTATCTTATACAAACGGAGGAGGGTAAAACCCTACGAAGAAACAAACAATTTCTCAAACGTAGAAGGGAGGAAATAGATATAGAAACGAATATTGAGAATGATATCGGTACCAATAAAGAACAAGACAGGGTACAACAACATGCAACCTTAGTTGTGCCAATTCCTCCGAATAATCGAATATCACTTCAAAATAGACCGCATAGAACGATTAAGAAAAATCCAAAGTATTTTGGTCCCCAATTTGTTAATTCCTAAGTTAGTAATAATTTATGTCTTGTAGACAGACATTAGTGTCATTGTGTTATTATTAGTATTAGTTTTATAAAAAGAAAGGGAGATGTAATATAGTTAATGTAAGATGTGTTGCCTACCTATTGTGTACATATGTAACCATACTTTATATCTGAATAAAACCAGTATACTCCTGACTCTGACACTGAACAGACATCACAAAATGTAATTATTTAATGAATTGCAGCGTTCTCTAACTTATGTTTTAATGACGGTGCTATTTCAGGTGATACAAGAAATTTCACCTTGTTAGTGAGATATGTGAAGGCAAATAAAAATCTAAAAAAAGGAAACATTACTTCATCAAATTACAATAAAATGATGCTAGAACGCTTCAGATACCAATTAGTGACTCCATTAATTTTTCATTTCAGGACTTACGAATAAGGGGAATTCAAAACACCTAAATCTAAAAAAAAAACAGCTTGAAATATTACCTACCCTAAATTTAAAAGAAACTTGTTTTGTTCAGGTATGTAAAAAAGTTTCTGCTAACAATTTTCTACAGATTTTCACATTACAGATTTAATAGATGATGTACACGCAATTTCTCCTTGTTCAAAAAAATTTCATTTCAGAATCGTTCTCAGCAGATGAAAAAATATATAGACGATCCTGTCTTAACTTTTCGTTCGGGTATGTAATTCGTTTCTTTTTTGTCCGCAGTCTTTAATTTTCAGTTCTCTAGATACATGTCACCCAGAAGAACATACTTCAATTTCATTCTCATCACAGCTCCATCGCCTTACATTAACACCTCAAAAGTCAAAGTATTTCGAGGAACCAGAGAGCGACTGCAAGTCTTCGTTTTACTCTTGCAATAAATAACGTAATTCCAGCGAGGGAGTCTGTGCAAACTTTTCTATTAACATCAGAAAATCTTTGGCCCTAGTGCTTACAACATCAACTTTGCAAAGTTGTGCTTTGATAAGTATGAAAATTTTTGCCCGTCACGAAAGACGATGCACAGGTAGACCTGTAAATTTTAAACGTGTAACGTCGATGGCCCGTAAAGAAAAGACCGCACAATCTGTGAGACCATAAATAGAGTAAACATCTTACAGAGCGGTTTCTGTTTCTTCTGCTAGAACCTACTAGAGACGATGATATTAAACACGAGATATCATTGCACCCTTGTTTAAAAAGTTGTTACAGGAAAATATGCTATTATATATCGCCATGTTCCAACATCACTAAAAAACGACCGATAACACTTGCGGCTAAACTTTCATTAGAAATCAAAGAAATCGATCCCACAATTATTGATTTCGAGGATCTCATTCTGTATTGTAATTACGACATCTTGTGATAGTGCGATATGGATACTGAAACCGGAAAATTCAATAAACCATTCTTGGCTCCAGCTATGATGTCTACCGTAACTTTCCTGTTAAAAGCACTGATAAATTCTTACCGACGTAATGACTGTAATGAGGATGCAACAGAAATGCAGAATGCGAAATGTTTCTCAACCCTTCACGAAGATAACTATAGAGTTCATGTTGGAAGAAGATGATGAAAAAGCCGCTACTACTGGTATAGAATGCAGCCGGAGATTTGTAAAAGAGCGTCCAGATTGTCAGACACGTAAGGGAACTCAAAATCAAAAACCACCCGGGTTACTACATCCGATTCAGGAGGCAACTCTTTTGGAGAAGACCGGGGTGGATATTCTTGGAATTTTTCGATGGAGTCGAAACGGAAAAACTGTTATTATTGTGGCAACAGATTATGCGACACGATGGGCGGAAACTAAAGCTTTACCAAGCGCCAAAGCATGCCCAGTAGGAAAGTTTATGTTACAAAATATAATAACGAGACACGGGGTTCCTCGAACATTTTGAATGACCGCGGTAAAAACTTTTGATCGGAGCTCATAGGCGAATTACTAAGGATAATGGGAACAAATCGTCAATTTGCCACGGCATATCAACGGACTGACAGAAAGATTTAACAAAACAAATAGCAGAGATCGTATAACACCTCTCGTCAGGATATAACCAAAGTATATGCTAGTATACGGACGCGAACTGCGTTAGCGGTTAGAAACATGGCAGTAGAAAATATTCGATCAAAACAACACATCGATAAAAAGCGAAACGATGAAAAACATCGCCACGTCGAATTTCATGTAAGAGACAAAGGTAAAATATTTACTCCTGCCCGAAAAGTCAGAAAAAGCGAAAAATTGTCATTTCGATAGTTTGCTCCATATTACATCACAAGAAAAATAAGCGACATAGATAATGAAGTACAAAAAATGGCTCAACGGTCTAATAGGGTAAAGATGCCTATTATGAGATAGGCGCCGAATATGAGATAGCAAGGTTTTGGCCAAACTGGACACAGCAACCATCTGCCGCTAGTGTTGCACGAACCGTCATAATAACAACAGCTCCAAACGTCTGCGAGTGCGTGCCGCCCAGAGGCGCTGTTCAGACGTGGGACAGCGTAGTTTTACAGAAGCACAAAACATTCTTTTGTCATTATGTGTTCACGAGGTAAGTAAGGACTTTCTTATTACGCTAAATGCTTTTTTTCACTACTAGCCTCAGAAGACTTCATTATATATCGTGTTTGATGCTTGAGAAATTACTGTTCTCCACCTTACCCAATAATGGATTTTTCTCTCCTACTAGTATATAATGAAAATAATTGACAGTATTGCCATGGTTACCTTAGAATGTCGTAGTTGAGGTGTTTACTTGACATTAAGCTGCCACATTTTATACATTGTTTATTAATGACAGATGATGTAGAACTGGGAAGCTGAAATTTCTTGCGAAATCTTAAATTTGCCGCCTGGACCACACTCCAGCAAGAATGCCACCAGAGCAATCATGAAAAATCTATTGCAGTTATTCTTACGAGCACGCGACATTTTTAACCTCTAATTTGTGTAATCTGTTAAGAAGTAGTATTTTTATAATAAATAATGAAAATGTTAATGTAGAAATAATATTGTGTTATTCGAAAGACAAATGTTTATTAAAAAATTGAGAATAATAAGTATTAACAACAAAGTAACTAAAGATTAACACCTCAACTATAATTATTTGAAATAATAGTTAATTGTGCAGTTGTGGCACGTCATATTGATTCCCGATGTATTGCGATTGGAGGTAAAGTTCTCCACCGGTATAGTTATTTCACTGTTTGTAGCAGCATGTGTGGAAGTAGATGGCATTTCACTACACACTTCTTCACTCCTCTCACATAAAATATTGGAAGAGCTAGGAGCAGGTAGGTTAATGTGATGAGGTGTTCCCTGAATTATATTTGCAATTCTTCTTTTGTCAGTGAGAGACTCCTCAACATACCCTTCAGCAACCATTGAGCTTTTCCAGCCCCATGGCGTTTGAGTGATAATATGTCCCCACCCATATCAGCCAAAATAGTCGCTGATGTTCGCCTCAATGTATGGCCAGTAAATTCGTCGACATTTGGCAGTTGTAGGTATTGAGCTATTTTATAAGGTGTCTTGCTTATCGTATTATGTCCCATGTTTTGTCTAGTCGGTTTTCCACCTCTAAACCCAATGAAAAGCCTTGCCATATCAGGAGACGGCCTTTTTGTCAAGTATTTTTTAACCACATCAATCCAGGTGGGCTCCATAATGACAAATTTTCGAGAAGATTTTGTTTTTGTTTGAGGGATATTTATGACTATCATATCCTCTCGTGTAT